TATATATATATATATATACGTACTCCCTGAAGAATACCGTACACAATACCGTATGGAATACCCTCTAGAATACTCAATAGAATGCGCAATACTTTATCAATGCCCCTTTCTGTATACAGTATGCTATTTAGAATGCCACCTGGAATAATTTATAGAACACCTTATAGAATACCCCATGTATGTGTTACCCCACATATAGCTTATATGTACCCGATATGAAATTTGGTGCTATCAACCGCCTTTCGCTAATCTCTTTTTCTGAAAACGCAGCGGTTCGATAGCATCAAGTTTTCTGAAACGACACCCTTCGGAAAAGTTGATGCTATCGGACCGCCCCTGCTTGTTGTCCGTTTTTGCACTGGATGCCACAGCGGTTCGATAGCACCGTTTTTGAAGCAAGCCCTTCGGAAACTCTGTTGCTGTGCTAAGGTCTGGAAGAGGCAGCGGCTCCTATAGCAGCACATTTTCTGAAACGACACCCTTCGCAACATTTGGCACTATCGAATCGCGCTTGTTTGTTGTCCGAGCTTGCAACGGATAAGACAGCGGTTCGATAGCACCAATGTTCAGAAGGAAACGGGTGAGGCGACAGCACATACAGCTCCCGGATTTGGCATTTTCTGGACAAGTGGCTTTAAGTACATACCCAACCTATTGAATTCAATAGGGCCCATTGATAGGGGGTTCGGATTGAAGAATGAAGATGCCTCAGAAAACTTTCGCTGGGCATTTTCAATCTTTAATCCGACAGCCCTATTGAATTCAATAGGGCCTGTTGAACTCAATACGGTTTACGGACGGCGCGAAGAGGATTCCAAAGACAATCTACTATCAACTATCGTATGTAGTATTTGTATTACTGCACACGTACTAGAGTTCAGAGTACACACACATACAGAGTAGTCTTCTAAGTAAGAGGGCAAGGGTCAGGGTCCGAACAGACAGGATTTGCAGCAAAACTGGTAGATAACTCGGGGTGGTACCATATATATATATACACATTTTTGCAGATATGCATAACTATTAATGTATAGACATATATGTACATATAGACACATGTGCGCATATTGATATAGTATGTGTATGTATAAGTATATATATATATATATATGCGCACAAAACTTGCAGATATCTACACGCGATCCGAAACTCCGCACTACGTTGGTTCGTTGCTTCAATCTCATGAGTAGCAGGCAGCAAGGAACAAATTCTGTCCGGCTTTCCATTTAAACATCGAAAAGCCTTGCCCCTGGCTTCACCATTAGGGTTCAATTGTGGGTAATTAAGTCGCATGTACTACTTACATGTCAAGCTTCGCATGCCGTGCAGGTACATGCGTTTGGTGGGGTTCAAATTCTTTTGAGTGGTCATAGTGGCGGTACTTCTAGAAACACTATTACCATCGTGTGTGCTTGTAGACATTTGGTGAACTGAGATTGCGGGGTTCCGGGCCAGGGTTAGTAAGCATCTGCACACGGCTCCTTGGCAGCATCAGCTGGTCATGGCATTGTCCCATTTGCCGCGGGCATGGGAATAATGACTAGTTCTCGTGGCTTGCTAGCGTTGAAGCCCTGAAGGGCTTTGACCTTCATGTCTGCACCCGTTCTCAATGCCTCCACTGTGCCGTACGACCCCGACCTGCAATCCCAAGTCCAACACAGAAATCCTGGGTTCGACAGAAGTGAGCAACGCCTGCCAGGACATTCATCGCCCCGGCTCGTGTTCTTCAATGCCTGCTGCCGGATGTCTTGAACAATGAGTACGTGATGTATGCTCCCGGTCTCAAGTCGAGTGGACGGACAGTCAAAAGAGGACTGGGAGGCTTGAAAGCGGCTGCCGGCATGGTTCTGTGGGTCGGGTGTTGGCTCCCGGGACCCCGAGCCGAGCATTCCTGTAATCTAAAGGTAAACAGACTACATGCTTGTAGCTTAAACTCCGCAGAACCAAGCCTCGAAATCCACAAATATCATTTCTTTCTGCAAGGAACTGCAATCCTTCCAGCTTATGTAAATCTCTTAGCAGCACTAAACAGCATAGAAGCTGGCACTAAAGTTCGCTCATTTCTTGAGGCCATTGCGCACTCGAGCAATGAAGACATCTTCAATTTCGAGGGCTGTCAGGCGCAGCGCCGGGTTTCCTATGTCTTTGTCGAGCGGAGAACCCCATATGCATATCACGTATGGACGGAAAACTGAGACTTGGGTGCCTTGTGCAGTTTCTTGTTGACCCTACAGATCCATCCTGGCTCTCATTATGCCACCTCGACAGCACCGCCGCAATAACTGAAGGACCTTGCCAGACGCTCTGACGATGTATTTGCACGCACTTCGGTGGCCAGACCAGAAGAATACGACACACCACGTAAACCGGTCTGGATTTCGGCGTTCAGGTTTCATAACTGTTCGTAAGGGCTTGTTTGGGGTTGGGACCGAGCAGGCGATCATCAGCCTGGGCTGGAACCAGGCACGCTGCGCCACGCTGCGCCCGGCTTCGTTGCCAAATCCTCACCTCACTCTTCAGAGGAGACCTCGTTCCTGAAATCCCAAAGTCTAGACTGGAGGGAAAGGTAGGAACGACCTGAAACCTCAAAACCCTGAACCTCACGCTGAACCTGCACTCCTTTGCAATTCCTCGGCAAGGCTTGGCGGGGAGCCCTCCTGGACAGCTTCATCAGCGTGAGCCTTGCGTCACCTGGTGCTACAAGGATGTATCGTTTATAGGTGACTGGATGTGGAAAGGAGACTTAAGCTGACTAAATGTGACTAAGCAGTCAGTCCTTTACGCAGCTATTGTCTTGATGATTTGCTCTGCCATGTGTCTTCCTGTTGTCGTGGTTGTTGCAGTGGCAGAAACATTCCTGCACCTGCAGCTCCGACTTGCATTTGCGGAGAGAACTCAGGGTGCTGTTTGCAGTCATCACGCTCTTCCTGCAAGACACACCGGAGACACCCGGCAGTGACTGATTCTTTAGTGCTGCACAGACGACAGACAGTCTTGAAAGACTTCACGGGTGACGTTGAGTCCTGGTGTCCGATACACACGTAGGCCCGGCAGGTGGATGTCGGTTCCACAGTCTGTTTTTGTTCACAAGATTTGCCCATATGTGTCGGCGGACAGGAAGAGTACCACTAAATCATTGCTGTTCGAGAAACCCCTAAAGTCGAGCACATACTCAACACAGGTCACGGGAAGGTGTTTTGTGACGCTCAGGAAAGTTCCCAGTGACCGGTACATCGTGCTGGCTGCGAGCGCTGTTCTTGCAGCTGGGCATTCGAGTCGGATGTCGGTGTATGTCGATAGCTTGAAGCCTGGGAATGAGTGTTTTGACTTTTGCTGTTGCTGCTCTGTGGTTGTGCTCCGCAGACGTAGCCTCGGCAAGCCAGCAATTCTGTGAGCGACCACTCCCGCACAGCAGCAGCAAAAAAGCACACAGACCCAGGAACGCAAACAAAAAGCACCTCTCCGCAGCAGCAGCCACCGCAACAGCAAACAATCGCACACACGCACACGCAAAACAATCGCACACACGCACACGCACACGCAAGGGCAAAGGCACGGGAACATGCGCACACGCACCCCGCACACACACACACACACACACGCACGCGCATA